AGTAATATAATCTCTGATACAAGTCAGAGAATAGTTGCAGATACTGGGACTAATTGAAGAGAGGCAGGAAAGAATTTTCTGAGATGAACATGTTTGTACCTTGACCTGGATGGTGTTTACACTAATACATTGTGAAAACCCAGTGAGCTTAAATTAAGATCTATGATTTTACTGTATATAAATTACATTGGTGGTATGTTTTAAGTGAAGAGACTAGGAAAATATTTGAGTTACTTAGGCTATTGCAAAGTCAATCCTTTCATTTATACTGGGTATCCTCTGCTTTCCTGCATACTCAAGAACACTGATATCTTTCCTCCGCCCAGAATCGTCTATTTTTTTTTTTTTCACTTTCTATTGGTCACTCTATTCAGCAAATTATATCTTGACATTTCAAACCCTCCCCCATAAACCTCAATTTCATGTATATCTCCAACTATTAATATTTCCCTGATGCACCTTATAAGACTTCTTTTAAAATCTGTGCTCTGTTAACTAATACGTTCCCCTCAGGTTGATAAAATTATTCATTTTAAATTCAATTTTCAGGAGCATAGGTATGACATAATAATAACACACACAGCAATTTACAGCTTATAAAGCATTTTTACATTATTGCCTATAAAGCCTCACAAAACTCTAGGATAAGTATTGCTGTCACTTCTGTTTAATAGAAATAAGAGGCTTAGCAATGCCTCATAACCTGCCAAAGGTCAGAAAAAAAAAATGATCCCTATCTTCACATGCTTTGTTGTTCAAAAGCACTCAAAAATCTCTTAACACAATAAAAATGTCTGACCAATGAACAATATCCAAATCTACACAAAACAGGCTAACATCCCATTATTTCACGGTCTTATTTTAAATAACATTTCCACAATGAAAATCTACTACAACAAAATGATTACAGTGTGCAAGAAGGTAAATAGACAATTTATTATCCAAAAGGGACAATTTTGAGAATAAAGAAAGAGTACTTATTATACCAGGATAATAGCAGTGTCCTGGAAAAACTAGGATACATGATCATCCTATTTATAAGCTGGTTTTACTGCTCAAGAAGAAGTCACACTTTATTAGTGCTCTTTTAAGTAATAATTTAAAACTGAGTAGGCATGAAGAAGAAAAGAGGCATGAATGCAACCAATACTACAGGAAAAGGTTAATACTCAAACCTTCCAGACAATTATCTTGGTTTCCTTTATCTTTGACAGTTCTGCTTAATGTAGCAAATAGCTGGAAAGATATGGAGTTAGAAAGCCTTTGTATGCTTTTTCAAACAAAGATGACCTATTTATAAATATGAGCATTAACAGCTGACAACATTGCAGTTTTGTGAGAGGAGTCCTGTTTTAGTTCTTCAAAATATTTCATAAATAATTTCATTTTATGTTAAAAGCTCATTTGCCTTTTAAGAAGTCCCATAAATTCATGCAGCAATCTGAAATTTACAATTCTTATAACACACAAGTCCTGAAATTGGTTTGAAAATTACTTAAAGGGCACAAAGAAACCAACTCAACAAAGTAAAGCAGTTTCAATTTTAGCCAGATTTAGTTTCCTATGAATGTTCTCCATCTGAGTGGCTTGGCAGATCCTACTGGACATACCTCAAAAAGTTTTGAGTGTTAGGAGAAAATATCCCCAGACCCCACCCACAGCCCACATAAATTTTCCAATGTAGTCATAACCCACAGAAGTGGTTCCAGAACCATCATGTAGGGCACAGTCATGTAGAGTCCCAGAACAGTCTTAGACCAAATATGACCTGTCCAAGAAGGCCAAAGAATAGGGCTCCTCAGCTCTATAGCAAACACTCTCCCTGTCTCCCCACCTAATTTTCCCAGTCTTTCCTGGCACAAGCGCAGGCTGTAAGCAGTGCTGAAAACCAGACTAGACGTAATGTGAGGAAAACAAGGCAATATTCATAGAGGTATTTTGAAATCCTGTTGCTCAGTAAAATGTGCATAAAGTAGGAATCAAAGATCTAATTTTTATGTTAAGATCTACATTGCCTAAGGAGGAGTAACTTCACTTTGGGCCTCATAGTCCAATACAAAGAAAGAGTAAAATGCTCTCTAAGAGCATCCAATCTGTTCTAGACCTGACAGTCTACATTTTCCCCTTCATCCTGAATTAAAATTCAGGTATCAACTTTCCAAATGGACCAATAAAAAAAAAATAACAAAAGCATCAATATATCAAATACATGCCATCATTTCCTTAATGAAGAACCAGTTGGAATGTGACACACACAACAAAGGATGAAAGTTGTTCTTCAAGAATAATGGGTTTTAGAAGCTTTTCATCAGTAATGATGTAGGATACAAATAACAAAAGTCAAAGAGACAGTGTCTCCAGACAAATTCACTGAAAGATTGTCTTAAGTTTTTAAATTCTTTTGATTTTAAATTATTTAGAAAATCCTAATAATGGAATGCTATTCTAGAAAGTACATTGAACCAGGTATTTAGAGATGTGCACTCTAATTCAAGATCCATGTAACTACTTGTGTGAACTTAACGAAATTATAATATCTCTTGGTTTCTGTTTCCCCAACTATGAAATGAGAAAAATAAATAGGTAAGTCTGTTTCCTGTTTAAAAACTTAAGATTTAAACATTTCTTTTCAGGTGAAAAGACGGGGCTCATAGCTACCCAACAACACTATGGGATATATTAATATATTAGTACCACCATCACTGAACATTTCATTAAACAAATGTGCAAGGAAGAAAAGATCAGTGACTCTGAAAAAGACCACCAATTAGAGTTAAAGTATGTTGATTACTCATGCTCACTGGTTTCCAATCCTATATTTTTTCATAGTCATTGTAAAGAGTCACATATTACTATGTTTAGCAACAATTATTTTAAGTGTAATATAAAAAGGCAAATTGGACATGAAATCAAATTTTGATAATTTTTTGATCTTGATCACTCTCCTCACCAGTAAAAGTGTGTCAATAACACGCATCTTTGGGGTTACTGTTAGGCTATGCACAAAACAGAAATATACCTGACATTCTAATTGTGAAAACTAAAAATATGACAATTTCATTACATTCAGTACACACTGGGAACTGGTTGCTTTCTGTAGGATTACCAGTTTATCTGAAATTGTCACCACTTACATAAAGTTGCTTCAACTTCAGCAATGTGTCCCTTCTACTGAGTCTAAGTTACCAAGTTCCTGGAGGGCAAGAGTTACTAGAGTTGTTTCTCATAATGATTTCTAATTTTTTGTCCATACATGCAAACCACTTTATCGGGAAACTTAAATAGTACATTGTTTCCATAAAGACGTGTAAAGTACTAGACTGTGAACATCTGAATTCCTTTCCTAACTCTGCCACTAACTGATTATTTACAAAGCGCTCAGCTTTTCTTGGTCAGTTTCCTCAGGTGTAATAGAGGGTAGCTAGATAATGTCTAAAATTCTTTTTATGAGTGACGTCATTATTATTCAGAACCACATAAAATACAAACATTTGAAGAAACGCAAATATAAATTTATTACTAGTTATTTATCCTTCCACAGTAAGTTAAATGAGCCTGGTGTCACCCTTTAGTCTTTCGAAAACCATTAATCCCTACATTAAAAGATGGATGTTGTCACTTGTCAACAGCAAAAAATTTACATATGGGTGTTTCTCCACTGAAGAGTGGCCAGGAAGGCTATGGTCAATTAAAATTAAGTCCACATAAGAACTGATTCCTAACACAGAATATTTGATTCACACACCTAATTAACATCAGTTTCTGTTATGGGAATGGAAGTAGGAGTGGGGACAGAAAGGATTAACTTAGTGTGACCCTAACTCATCCTAAAAAATGTTCACTTTGAAAAAGAGGCTCAGGAGTCCACACATAATTTTCTGTGAAACCTTTCCATGTTGGTCTCCAAGTTTTGGCACCTGAATTTCTCCTTCTGCTTAAAGAGTAAGTATTTTTTTGTCTAAGTTAGTATAGCGTTATGCAGTTTAAGAGGAACTATATTCAAGTCTGGCTCAGTGCATCTTCTTACCTTCTTACTTCTTACCTGATGTTTTAAATATTGTGCAATCAAAATTACCATTGAGAAATGGTTAAATCACCAGGTCTTAGACTGCTATGAGTTCACAAACCAAAAATGTTACTGTTTTTATTCTCTTAATATTTGTTCTGGAGCCTTCTTTTCTCTGGGACAATGAAGGCCAAGGTCTACTTTAAAATTGGCAGGTCAGAACACTAGGTAAATATGGCAATTTTTATCTTTTTATAAATAGTTGATTAGCGTAAGTTAAACAGTCAAGGATATTCTAGCAAAAAGTGGACAAGTCCATTAGCCTGTCGCCATTAACAAAAAAAGAATCTTCAAAACTCTAGAAGACGAATTGGGAGGAGTCACTTATTTATTGCTTCAAATAGAGCTACTAATTCACAAAACTCATTTCACTTGTGACTCTCAGCTGAAAAGTAGGTAAACAGATGGTATTACTGGGAACCAGAGTACTAAATCCAGTTCTAAGTAAACAAGTTTCGGGACACACAATTTCACAATTTGGGGACAATCTACCTGCATCCGTGAAAGGCCAATTCTGTAGGTCTGCTGAAGGCCACCAAGGAAGTTCGGTCAGACAGCATGACATGCAAGCACAGAGACGCACGGTGCACGTCACACTTCCTCAGGCCCTGTCACCCGTGGAGGGAAAAGGTAGCTACATTTCTCCATGAGAATTCCACTGCACACATAAGCAAGCTTCAAACCCTGGAATCTGGGCTTGGGTCACCTCGGCGGGGCGGCTATTTACAAGGCTCGGCCAAGTGCCACGGACCCAAAAAACTTCGCAGGAACGCAGAAAAGGCCAAATGAAAAGTGCAAAGAGAACCTCCCCCAGGAGAGGGGCCAGTGACTCTGGGGAGCCAGAGACCTCCCCAGAGAAGGGGCGCCAGCCTCCGGCGATGTGAGGCGAACGCCCAGCCAGCAAGCAGTCTCAGCGGCCGCCCGCCCTCATTACCTGACCGACGTCATGGCTTCACCTTCGCGCCCCACGCGACAGCACCCGCGTCCGATGCTCTGCGACCGCACGGGCAGCAGCAGGTACCACGGCAACTGCTCCTCAGCTCAGGCACTCAGCGACGAGCAGCGCGTCCTCACACACCCCGCGCGCGGGCGGCCCCGCCGAGCCGGCCCCGCGCGCTGATTGGCCGCGCGCAGAGGAGGCGGACGTTCCGCCCCGGCCGGCGGCCAAAGCCCAGCCCCGGGCGTTGCGGGCCGGGCCGAGCCGCCCGCGCATCTCGCGCTGGGTGGCGGGCGCGCGGGCTAGCGGGCCGGCGAGCGGGCGCGGGGGCCATCTTGAGTCCTAGTAACAGCGTTTCCAGCCACTCCGGGCTCACGGGGCAGGAGGTTAGATGCCCGCCTTAAAAATGGCCGCCCGACTGGCAACCCGTTTATCTGTCACATGTCGGCGGGCTACCTTGGCAGGCTCCGGGCGCTTTAACAGGACCTGGGACAGGAACGCTGTCAGGACAGTCTTCGGGGACTGGGGCTAAGAGCCCGCAAAACCCATCTGTGGAAGAAAAGCTGCCACTGCCTGGGAGAGCCAAGCCCTGAGAGTATCGCAGCAGTTGCGCGCGACCTTCTAAATTCGAACCCGCAGCCTTGAAGAGTCAGAGGCGGAGTTCAGTGGTTCGCAGACGTTCTTAGGAAGAGCTTATAGAACGTGGACGTGTCCGCGGCTCAGTGCAAACTTTGTGGATCAGAATCCAGAAGGGTGAGGCCCAGACATCTGGTATTTCTGGCAACGAACCAGGTGATCCAGGTACACGTAGGAAGTTTTAAAACCTCTGGGCCAAGCTGACCTGCTCAGGCTATCTATCCAGTTGGCCACCTCACTTGTTAAGAGTACCTCACTTATCTGAAACGTACGCAGCGATATGAAACAAGCATTAAATGGCACAGGGGGAAAAAGGGAAAGACCCCATCTCCTGACCCTAACCTTACAATTTTGTGGGGTTAAAGAGTCTGGAAACCGGTTCTGAATCACTAAGGAGAGAGAAGATTCACGATTCCAACTGCGGGAAGAATCGGAGAGGGGAAATTCATAAGTGCTTTATGACCTTAATGGCTTTTATTTCCTCTGCAGTGTCTTTACAATAGCTGTATTCATAGAATAAACCTCCAGTGGCAATTAGTGACCGCATTAGGACGGTGATCAATATCATAGGTCTCAAATCACATCAGGAACTCAACCCAACATCAAGTGACTAATATGACCCAAACAGTTGAAATTTTTTATTTTACTTAATTTCAATTGGTTTAAAACGTAAAACGAAGCAACATAAAATATTATTCCATTAGTTTTTCATTGGGCTATATTTCACCTTTGAACTTTTAAAAATTCAGCATCCATATTGAGACGCTGTAAATATATAAAATACATATCATGGGCATACACGGTGGCGCAGCCTCTGCAGCGCCGGTTCGATCCCCGGCCGCTGGCGAGGTTCCCACATGGCGCACAGACCTCTCCTGTCGCGCCCACTGCTCCCCTCAGCAGTGTCCTCCGTCTGTCTGCCTGTTTTGCTCCCCACTCTGGCTCTCTCACCCTCCTGCGCTTCTGACTTTACCCAGTACTTGTATAAATAAATAAATAAATAAATAAATCTTTAAAATAGTTTTTAAAAATCACAAAATGTCATCAGTTTAATAAAATATTGTTTAAAAATAAAAATAAAATACATATCATGTTTTTCAATACTTAATTCAAAAAATGTATAAAATCTATTGATAATAATTTTATATTGATTACGTTATGTGTTGAAATATTTTGTTAGACTATATTAAGATTTTTTACTTCATTTTTTATTTTTTTAAAGATTATTTATGCATACAAGAACTGGGGTACAGGCCAGAGGTGTGGGGGGTGAGAGGATTCACCAGAGACAGAGTGGGGAACAGAACAGGCAGATTGACCAAAGTACACTGCTGAGGGGAGCAGCGGGCGAGTCAGGAGAGGTCTGCTGAGCCATGTGGGTAGCTCCCTGGCTGGCTGGGAATCCAACTCGGGCTGCAGTGGCTGTGGATAGCCTCACAGGCTGAGTCTTAACCCCTTGCGCCACCCCTCCCTTAAACCTTCCCAAAATCAGGGAGGCCTGATTTTGTACTTCTTTAATGTGGCTATTAGAAAACTTTATATGAGTCTTGCATTATATTCCTACTGGATATACTGTTCTACTAAATTAGCCTTGCTTCTCTTACCTATCATTGCCCCTGTTACAGAATAATTATAGTCACAAAATGAAATTACTAAGGAGATAAATTTATACAAGTCTGTGGTTCCTTGCTAATCATCAAAAACAAAATGCTATTTCCTTACAAAATGCTATTTTTTTAACCATTTTTCTCTTTAATTTGGAAATGCCTATCCAGAGTGAAGCCAGCGCACGTTGGTGGTATAGTGGTATAGTGGTGAGCACAGCTGCCTTCCAGAGTGAAGCCAAGGACTATAAATCTGATGTGTGTAGTCTGTGAGTAAAGGCTGTTAAAAAAAAGAGAGCTAAACTTGGAGTGATGAGACTTGGACCAATTGTCCACAGACATAATTAGTTATTGTTGCTCTGAATTAAATAGGATATGAATCAAAGAAGGAGCAGGATAGCAATCTGAAGTTGTGGAGACACTGACTAATTCAAGAACTTCCTCTTGTTGTAAAAAATGTTGATAATACACAAACACTAAAATCAATCAGGAATCTTTCATAGATTTTAAAACCAATATATTTTTAATATGGAATGTACAGTATAAAGTAATGCTGCTCAAACTTTAATATGTATACAAATCACTTGTGGTCACAGTAGGTCTCTGTGTCCAATATTTTGCTTTTTTTTTAATGTAACCAGATTTCACCAGGACTAGTAAGGCTGTAAAAGTAACAAGACTTTTACTTGACTTCCTGCTAGCTGCATCACTGTGGATTGGTGTTAACCCATTTTTTACCTTAGTTTACCCTTACACGCTTTTCAGGGTATTGTGAAAAATAAAAATTAATTCTAGTAAAGTGTCTAATAGAGTCATTGCCACATGGAATATGTGCCCTATCCTCATTTTGTTCTCCAATGTCCCCTTTGATCCCCCTAGTAGCCTCAATTCTACAGTCAGATTTTTTTTAAGATTTATTTATGCATACAAGAGCTAGGGTATAGGCCAGAGATATGGGGGGGGGGGGGGTGAGAGGATTCACCAGAGACAGAGTAGGGAACAGAACAAGCAGACTGACTGAAATACACTGCTCAGGGGAGCAGTGGGTAAGACAGGAAAGGTCTGCTGAGCCATGTGGGTAGCTCCCTGGCTGGCTGGGGATCGAACTTGAACTCGTGGTACAGAGGCTGCAGATAGCTTCACAGTGCTGTGTTTAACCCCTTGCGCCACCAGGGAGGCCCTCTACAGTCAGATCTCTAAGGTTTGTTACTGGTTTGGTTTTATCTGACTCTTTGTTTTGTTTTATCTATTCCAGAAACTGTTTTTTTAACAAATATACTAAATTCTGTATCATTAAGGAAGAAAGAGTCTGCATTATTCAAATATTAAATTAAAATCATACAACATTCAAAGTTTTTTTTTTTTTAACTTCTTTTTGGTGATACTTTGCATCTAACTTAATCAAAGCTTTAAATTTTTTTAATTCATAATCAGTCAACATGACTTTCAAAAAGTTCATTCTTTTAAAATGTGTTTAAGTATCAGTTCATTTCAGCAGGTACAGACACACAAAAAAATAATCTCAGCAAATAGGACTCAATCAGGTAAGGACTAAAGTAATAATGACATGTTTTTCCAGGTAAAAGCATAAGTTCTTTTTATTCACAAGGCCTTTCTTTACTCAATTTTTCATGCTCTGTTTCTAACCTTTCCTTACTCTTTCTTCCACCTACTCATTTCTCAACACATAATGGCATAGTTAGCTACTAAGTAACTACTACTTAACTCCTTTGGCCAACATTTTATACAATTTATTTAAAAAGAATTCTTTTCACATTTAGAGCAGTAAGTTGAAAATTGTAACCTTCACTAACTCCTTACAATTTAAACAGCTAAATCAAGATGAATGCCTCAGAGTAAGTTTGCTCTTGGAAAGATAGGTAAATAAAAATCTTATCTACTTTAAATAATCATGTGATTAGTCTCCTGCTATAAAAACTAATAGATAACTGACCTCAAATAACTGTCTCTGGATAGCTTAACAAACATGTGAACCCACCCTACTAATCTTCAAGCCTTAAACAATAGCAAGGTTCACTTCAAACACAACCAGTTTGTTGTTAGGATGCAATAAAGCAAACATCTTCATACCACGTTAGTGAAGTATAAAATCAGTACATTTCTAGAAAGCTTTACGGCAATATGTGTCACCAATTCCATTTTTGAAATGCCAAAGTTATACCTGATTTTATCACAACCATCAAAACTACCTTTTCTGGGGTCTCCCTGGTGGCACAGGAGTTAAAGACACAGCGCTATCAAGCTATGGCCAGCCATTGCAACATGAGTTCAGTCCCAGCCAGGGAGCTAACCCATATGGTGCAGCAGACCTCTCCTGTCTTGCCCACTGCTCCCCTCAACAGGGTATTTCAGTCAGTCTGCCTGTTCTGCTCCCCACTCTGTCTCTGGTGAATACTCTCACCCCCGCACCTCTGGCCTACACTCTAGTTCTTGTATACATAAATAAATAATTTTTTAAAATTATCTTATTTTTTAGAGGACTTTGTGAAATTTGATTAGTTTCAAAGCAATAAAATGAACGCAATTTTAGTTACCTTTCACTATGGACAAGGTTATTCAAAAACTGTTGCTAAATGCATTAACACTTTTCCCCAAAGACATTACAAAGGTCTACTATTTTTATTTCCTTTTAATTATTATCTGTAGAGTCTTATGTCACATTTCACTTTTAAATTACATATTCAAACAGAATATAATCTTTATGTGGAATCTGACAATTTGTTTCCCAGGAGAATTTGAAGATTATAATAACATTTGATTGACTGAACTTTATTTAGTAAGAATTCTTAGCAAAACTCCCTCCCAGGCACACCTACACTGCACTTCTTTATTTTCAATGAACTACAAATGTCTGAAACTCAAAAACTTTTGATCTAAAAGTATAGAACAATGATTCCCAATTACTTATGCTGCCAAGAACATATTA